GAGGGCCGCGCCGAGCCCCGTGGGGAGGACGGCCGGGGCCTGCGGGAGGCGGCCCGGGCTGTACCTGAACACGTAGAGGTAGCGCTCCTTGTAGCTGCCGCGCCCCAGCGGCTCGCTCACCACGTAGTGGAAGGCGTCGGGGGCGTCCCTGGACCAAGGAGAGGCCCAGTCAGGGCACCCGGCCGCCCACGGAGGGCCTCCTGCCCCCCGCCCGGCTGCGGCCGCCGCCCCCGCTCTTCCCGTCACGCACTGGTTGAGTCCATCCAGCAGCTTCCCCACAGCCATCAGGTGCTTGTCCCTGACCTCCTGGATGACAGTGATGTCGTAGCGGCTCAGGATCTGGGGTGGGGGCCACAGAGGTGCTGGGCGGGGGCTGGCGCACACGGCTCCGCCGGGGCCGCTCCCCTGACCTGGCAGTCTGGCCCGGGACCGGCCACTGGACTCACCTGCAGAATGTAGCTGCACAGGGTGGCGTTGGAGATCTTGGTCTCCCCGAAAGTCCGGATGTTGAAGGCAGCGATTTTCAGGGACAGCGCCACGTGCAGCAGGCCGGCCAGGGCCAGCAGAGCCCCCGTCAGCGTGGCACCCCTCATCCTGAAGCAGGAGGGACACCCCCACGCGAGTCGGACAGCGCCCGGCCCACGCCCGCCCCGGCGGCCCCGTCTCGGGCTCCGCTCCACGGGCAGCCGCTGCCCGGGCTCTGGCCTCCAGCCCGGGGCCGCCCTCGCGGCAGGCACCAGGCGCTCACCCGAAACGGCCTCACAGCCCAGTGTCTGGGCGCCGCTTTCCTCTGCTGCTTGAGGAGGATCCCTCGGGGCGCTGAGCCGGCGGCCGAGAGCCGAGTGCGCTCGGGGAGCGCCACCCCCTGGGGCTTTAAAAGGTGCGGGCAGCTGGGCCGGGCACCTGGCCGCGCCCGGCGGGAGGGCGGGCTTCCTCGCTGCAGTAAAGCAGCACCTGGCACTTTGGCACCGGCTGGAGCTTCTGACAGGAGCACATGCTGCGCTCCCAGGGGCAGGTGCGCTGAAGGATGGACGTGACCTTGAGCCGGGGCCAGAGCCAGACACCCCCTTTGCAAGCGGCGCCACTGTGGGCGCTGCAGCTTACCCGCCCGCGTTGTCGCTGTGAGGCTGGCGGGGCTCGGGCACAGCTCGCCGCAGCGTCGGGGCTGCAGGGCTGGGGTGCCCGGGAGGGGCTGCAAGCCTCCTCAGCTGCCGGCACGGCGGGCACGGGGCAGATGAGACCCCGATGGCGGGTCCTAAGGACACAGCTTGCAGCCTCAGGCCCCTCATACCTTTTTGCACCCCCGATTCGCCCTCATCTCCCTGCCTGCTCTGACAGGTCCCCACAAACTTGGCAGTTGGGACGAAAAACTGTTCACTGCACTGAGCAGAGGTGCTGCAGGCCCCGGGGGGCCCTTTCTGCCTCAGCAGCCTCAGGGGACCTCAGCTCCTCAACTTGGGGCCGCATGGTCTATTCTGTGTCAACCGCTGCCCCCTCTCGAAAACACGAGGCCTGGACTTCAGGTCCTCCCATATGGCTCGGAATCTCCCCACCTTAAGACTCACCTCGCCTGCCAGTCAGTGACCTTCACGGCGGAGCCGAGGCTGTGGCCGGGTCCTCGGAGGACACCCTGCAGGCGGGGGGTGGGGCGCAGAGCTGTGTGGGCAGCAGGCATCCGAGACCAAAGTCAAATCCAAACAGTGCCTCCGATCTGCCCGCGGGGCAATGAAAAGGTGCTGACAGACGGGTCGGCACCAGGCCGGGTCCTCACGCTGACAGACAGGGCCCTCACCTCCTCCCTGCGCTTGGCAGGGCTGGGCTAGACCGGCCACCCAGGGAGGCCAGCATGTCCAGAGTCAGCCCCTTTTTGTCCGCACACTGCCTCTGGACACGCTTGGCGGACCCGCCAGACAGCACGAACACTAGCTGAGGGAGGCGCTGGGGCTGCCGGCCGGGGTGGCACCGCCGGCCCCCTCTGCCCCAGCCAGCGCCACTCTGGGGGCCCAGCAGAGCCCCAACTGCAAGCTGCTCATACAAGGTGCCCTGTCTGGGCCTTGGAGGTGGCCCAGCCAGAGAGGCGCATGCCCAGGGGCCGGAATCTGGGCGGGCCAGGTCCCAGCACCCCCAGTGCGTGCCCCACCACTCGAGACCTTGTGTCCTCGCCTGTGGAGCAGACAGGCCCTCACGAGTGGGCACCTGTTAAGTAATCCAGGCTGGAAA